CAAGGCCTCATTAGGATGTAGGGGTGGCCCTGGTAATTGTTTGGCTTTGCATGACCAGAGCACCACTGCATTTACAGGCTCGAGCATTGAACTGCCAGAGAGTTGGCTGAAAATTGTTAGAAGGGGACCCTAGGGGCTGGAGCAATAGCACAGTGGGTAGGGCGATTGTCTTGCACGTTGCCAACCCGAGTTCAATTCCCAGAATCCCATATGGTCCCATGAGCACTGCCAGGGGTAATTCCTGAGTGCATGAACCAGGAGTAGCCTCTGTGCATCACCAGGTGTGACCCCAAAAGAAAAGAAAAAAAAGAAGGGAACCCCAGGACTCCTGAGCAACATTTGATAAGTGACAGAGCCTTTCCTTCTTCTGACATTTGTCTTATATCTTGTGGTGTTCGGGGACTAGTCCCAACAGTGTTCAGAGAACTATGTGGTGCTGAGGACAGATCCCAGATAGCCTCCTTATGCAGAGCATGTGCTCTAGGTTGTTGAAGAATCTCTCTGCCCCCAGACCCTTTCCTTCTTGACCTAGAGAGGTCAGACACCAAACCCCAAAGGTGGGCTTAGGGCACATCACAAAGAAGAGAAAACTAGCATTGAATGAATAGCTATGGTGGGCTGGTGATGGTGCTAATCACTTTATATGCATTATCTCATATAAGCTCCTGACCAGAATAAGGTATATCCTGTTACTACCCCCAATAGCAGAAAGAGAAACCAATGCTTAGTGAGGTTAAATAATTTTTCCCAAGGTCACACAACTAAGGAATGAGAGTTGGCTGAAAATTGTTAGAACTAAAGTTGTCTTCTTCCCAATATACCAACACCTGCGAAGACCCAGAAGATAATAAATTGGATGAGTCAAATGCACAGCAGTGGGTGGCAGCGATGACCCAGGACTCTAAGCTTCTGCACAGCACTGATGAGGGTGACAAATCCGAGGCTGGATTCTCACAGATCACTACCTCATTTTGGTCCCCTCCTCCCCAGTGCAGAGTCCTACCCTCTCCCCGAGGTTTTTGCTATCTTGAAGGGAAACAGCTGTGCCCCCTCATCACAGACCCGAGCCTCATGCACAGCAGTGCTTGCTGCCTTGGGCAGTAGAATGGGTATAGTTTCATGTGCCCTCTCCGGGCCCCCTCCAAACCCTTTCTGCTAATATTTAACTCAATAGTGTCCTCTTCCCCCACACAGAGTTGTTTTGGGTTTTTTGTTTGGGTGTCCTCCCCCCCCCCCCCCCCCCCCCCGTCATCAGTTGTTTATGTCTTCAACAAGCAATTACTGAGGACCATCTATGTGCCCAGCACCCTGCTAGGTGATATCATTCTAGTGATCTCAAAGTCTGGTGGATGGAAATTGACCATTTGAATATAGTACTGAAATATGTGGATGCCAACACAGGGTTTCAGAGTGAGCAAACATAGTCATAGTCCTTGTCTCCATTGCAGAAAAGAGATATGCTCACTGTGGCCCCTGTCTTCAGACTCATAGAGTACTTTGTGCTGAGAGAGCTCAGATGCCTCAGAAGGGTAACAGCCAGCGAACTGTCCACTCCTAGCTGTTGTGAAAGGGTAATGTCACCCTGGGAAAGAATAAAGGATGACAAGAGATATACAAAAGGAAGAAGACATGGTTTGGGACTTGAACTAGAAAAAGGGCAGCATTTTGGTTAAGTGTAAAAGAAGGAAACCCAAGCACAAAAATGTGTAAGTCTGCAACTGTACCTCATGATGTCTCACTACTAAAAATTTTTTTAATAAAAAAAGAAGGGATTGATTAAAACCTGATTGTCCTAAGGGTGCAGTTCTTTAAATTTTGTTTTAAAAGCCTGTCCTCGGGGCTGGAGTGATAGCACAGCGGGTAGGGCGTTTACCTTGCATGTTGCCAGCCCAGGTTCGAGTCCCAGCATCCCATATGGTCCCCGAGCACCTCCAGGAGTGATTCCTGAGTGCAGAGCCAGGAGTAACGCTTGTGCATTGCCGGGTGTGACCCAAGAAGCAAAATAATAATAATAATAATAAATAAAATAAAAAAATAAAAGCCTGTCCTTTGTTTACTGAAGGTAAGCCTCTGCTTGTCTTTCACCTCTGTTAGTTTTCTTTTGTATTTTTCCCCTTACCTTTTGCAAACTAGGCAAGGTAAGGAAAAATGAATATAAACTAAGGAGGAATGAATGAGGTTTTCGTTCTAAGTTAGCACTGTTCATTACATTGTCCATTACAGGTTCCTACCATGACTGAAGGAAGGCTCTAGTTTGTGCTGTCCAATACAGTGGCCACTAGCCACATTTGGCAAATGAACAACCAAAGTGTGGTCAGTGCAACAAAGTAACTTCCCATGTCAGTTATTAGCTTATGACTTTTTTTTTTGCTTTTTGGGTCACACATGGCAATGTACAGGGGTTAGTCCTGGCTCTGCACTCAGGAATTACTCCTGGCAGTACTCAGGGGACCATATGGGATGCAGGGAATGGAACTTGGGTCAGCCGCGTGCAAGGCAAACACCCTACCTGCTGTGCTATCGTTCTAGCCCCCAGCTTATGACTGGTTTACATTATAGAATTTCACCAGTTTCACTTTCCTTTTGATATGTATGATACACCTCCAGATGTATGTGATTCTCACCACTATCAAAGTTCTCCTGCCATGCCATGCCATCCCCAAAATGACTCCTTAACTCATTTTCTCCCACCTTTCCCCCTTTACCTATGGTTAAACAATAGTTTCACCTTACTAGTGTTTTGCTGGGTTATTTTGCCAGTTCATTTGTTCTAGTTATTCATATTTCACATATGAGTGAAACCATTTGATATTCTATTTGATTGTATGACTTTGAGCCATACCCAATGGTGCTCAGGGGCTGTTCAGGGCTCTGTGCTCAGGAGTGACCCCTGGTAGTACTCAAGGGACTATGTATGACACTGGGAATTGAACTGGGTTTGACCATGAAGCACAAGCTCCTTACCCCCCCCCCCCCGGACTATCTTGAGGGCTTATATTTAGCATATTGGAAAGTATAATTCTTAGCGAATAGGCCACCTATATTCTCATAGTAAATGTGTAAGTAAATGTGAATACTTCTATTAACCTAATGGGGGCACTCCTGGAGGCTCACGGGATTGCTCAGTTAGGAGCTGGATCAGCGTCATATTTCTTCAAAATGACTGGGAAAAGATTGAGTGCCTATTGGCACATACATTATCTCACTTAATCCCAGCCCCAGCCTTGAGTGGGAGAAGACTGAGATTCATGAAGACCCAGAAAAATTAAGGTCCTATCATAGAAAGAATGAAAACTCAAGACTAGGAATCCCTCCGCACTGAACCCCCAGGATTGGAAGACTATTTCCAGGAAAAGAGTACAGGGGAAACGATCTCCTGCTAATAACACTCACTGCTCACAACGCAGTCTCCTGGATGAAGAAAGGGACTTCCTTCCATTACTGCCTTGTTCCAACTGAACTGTGGCTAAGGGGACCATTGGCTGTTAACAAAATCATAGTCGTATTCCCATTCTGCTACGCTGGCCTAGACAATGGAAGGTTTTTGGAAAATTCAAAATGATATCCTCGGATCAATGGGCACCTTGGCGCCTTTCTAGGTCTGCAGATGCCACAGTGAGCTAAGCGAAGATCCCTCCTCCTGGGGCTGAGACTGACGGTGGAGGGAGGTTGGTAATCAAGAAATGCATGTGGCACTGGATTGTTCTCCCATCTCAAAGATTGTTAATACATAACACGACCTTTCGTGTAATTTATGTCACATAGCCATGCAGTCTGATGTCTCTTTTTGTGCAAATCTGATTTTTGTCTTTCAAGTCAACAGCCTGGCTGGCTGAAATGCGGAAACACCTTTCCGTAGAGTCTTTTTTATGAGTGTTGAGTGCCACCTAGGTGCTGAGTCTGATACTGGGGACTTAGGCGAGATCCAGAGGAATGAGAATGCAGGGTACTGCCTTGGGGGTCGAGGGGGTTCTAATGTTATGGAGAAGGTGATCCCTTCTTTTGGGACCTCTTTTGGGCTGTAGAAACTAAAGGTTTGGTCTGCGAAGGCAAATAACCCAGCAATTGCTTCAATTCCCAATTCAATCTCTAATTCCCAAGTGGGAATTCTAAGTCCGTGCAAAACGAATCCAGCCTTGATTCTCTGAGTTTGGGTAAACTGGGGCCATCTCACAGTGATGACAAACTAGAAAGAAGCTGAGAAAGGAGTTTCAGAGAACCCGGCAGCGAGGAGGAGGGAACCCAGAGAGGACCCTTTCGGGATATTGCTCTACTGGGAGGGCTTCCTAAGGAGGTGGACTTTGAGGGGCTTTTACAAAGAAAACTCACTCGCGGGCAATAGGTAGAGGATGGAGGCGTCGCAGGCTCAAGGTGCCTTCTGGTGTTGTGGGGGTGAGATGGGTGGATTGGGCGTCTTCTAGGAAAAATTGGAGCGCTGACCAATTTTAAGCAGCTTTGTCCTACAGAAGTAAGCCGAATGCACCCCAATTGAGGACACAGAGAGAAGGGCTGGCTAAAGGGGGGGGGATTTTTCCAAAATCCTGGTGCGTTGGGGAGAAAAGGAGAGGGACGGGAGAGCGGTAGGGTCCTTCCTGGAGAGCCCGGGTTTCTTGACAGCCCTTTGGGGGGCGAGGGGGGAAAGGGTTAAGTGTGCCCCTCCACCGCCCCCGATGCTTCCTGTATTTGAAATCCTTCGGGCCGCGGTCCAGGCGGGCATTGTCCGGGGAGGGGTTGTGGGCTGGCTGCAGCGGCCGGGCAGCCTTTGTTGTGGGGCCACCTCCAGCTTCCCTCTCGCGCCCCGGGGCTGGGGCTGCCGAGTGCGTGCCGGGAGGGGGGCGGCGCGGGAGGCTCGCTCCCTTCTCCCTCTTCCTGCTCTCCCCCCCCCCCGCCCCCCGCCCTCCAGCCCTCCGATGACCACATGACCAAGTGGGCTCGCGGCCAAGCCACACGCTACTACAAAATGCAGCCCCCGAAGTGAGCGGGGAGCATTCTCGCTGGCACCGCCACCGGCACTTGGGGCCGCGACCCGAGACGCGGCGACAAGAGTCCCGCCGAGCCGCCGGAGAGGCCAGCTGGGTGGCGCTGCCCCGCGCGGCGAGCCAGGGAGGCTGCAAGGAAGAGGAGGCGGCGGGGCCAGCAGCCTGCAGCGCGGCGTGGGCGCCTCCGGGAGCCACGCGAGCTCCGAGCCTCCCCTCCTCGCGTCCCCCTCTCCCCTTGGCCTCCCGGCCGCACGCGCTCGCGCCCTCGGTGACCCCTGTTGCTAGGGCCGCGGCGGCCCCAGGAGCAGCATGAATCTGCGGTGGTACTTGCAGGCTCTGCTGCTGCTCTGGCTCTCTCTGACCGCCGTGTGTGGAGGTGAGTGCGCGTCCCCCGGCTCGTCCGCCCCGTCGTTGGCCGCTCGCCCACTCCCAGCGAGTCGCCACGCGCCGGGCTGCCGGCCGACGGGGCGTCCCGGGGGCCCGGTTTCGGGGCCCGGCTGGGGGGAGGATGGCGGAGCGTGGGGTGTGTGTGTGGGGGGTGGGAAACCGCTTGCTCCGGGAGGGCATCTCTCGCCCGGCAACTGGCCGGTCTGGGCGCTCCTCTCACAGTCCGAGGAGCCCGGCACTCCCCGCAGGTCCCGCGGCCCCGCGCCCCACGTGGTGGAAGGAGCCCCGGTCCGCCCTCCCCCTCGTGGATCAACGCAGGGGAATGGCCAGAATCCCCCAACCCCGGCCGCCTCCCGTCCCCTAGACTGGCCTTGAAGATCTACGGGCCCTGGGAGGTGAAGAGCCAGCCGCCTGGCTCTCTTCGGGGTTCGCGGGCCACTGGGGCCGCTTGAGCCAAGTTGAAGACGTGACACTTGTTGCATAGGAGGGAGCGCGTGGCGGCGGTGTGGGGACCAGCTGTTGATCCTTAGTCCCCCCTCAGTGAGCAGAGGCGGGGGGTTCAGTGAGCAGAGGCAGGGGGCCAGGTTCTGTCTGCTGTGCTCTGGACTCCCGCGCCCAACCAAGATCCTCTCAGCCTCCTCCTCCCATCCCACTTAGTTCTTGGACGTTCTGGCTCCTGGGCGGGCTCCCCTTCCCCCCAGTCAGGCTGGGCATGCTGCATCTCACCCTCATCTCCAAACCACAAAGCAAGGCAAGCAAGGCACAGGACCTGACACCCCCATGCTACTCAGGAAGCGGGTGCCTTTCCCTCCCTTGCCCTTACCACACCTTCCACCTGGCAGTCCTTGGCACCAGCTGCTCTCTGGCCCTCCCCCATCCAGATCCCCACCCAGCTCCTGTGTGCCCTCACTTGCTTCCTGGGGCAGCTGGCACAGTCCTGTGATCTGGCTGTCACTACAGCCTTGCCTGGCATCATGGAAGGTGACCAGGAGGGTGAATGCCAGAGCGGGGGAAGGAGAGACTGAGAAAGTGTTTCCTCTCTCCTTGAGGCAGGAAGAGCACTATTTGGAAGAGCACTAAGGGCTCACTCTATGTGGTTCTCACCTGTTGGGACAGGACCATCCTTGGCAGTCCAGAAGCTTCTGAGGGACCAAGCCAGGTCTCAGTTCCCTGTCATCAGCTACTTTCTTTCTCATTGCTGTTGCCTTTGATACTGCCCTGGAAGGTGCCCTGCTTGGGTCCAGTACCACCTGCCTACCTGAGTCCCCGAGGAGTTAGCCTCCACCTTGGAAAGACGTAGACAGGGTTCCCCCCCCCCCCCCAGACACTCCTTTCTGGCAAGCTATTTTTGAAGAGAGCAAGGAAGATGATTGAAAGACTCCACAGGGGCCTGACCCCAGGGTCGTACCCTGTGGTGAAGGGAGCAAGACACACCCATGTGCGCAGGTCTGTGCACTTCAGTCCAAGATGGCACTTTCGGGGAGGAAAGGGTGGGTGTAGTGAGGACCTCTCAGATGAAGATGGGGCTTCCTGGTTGGCATATTTGGTGCTACCCCAAAGTTACAGGGAGACCCATGGCCTTCTGTCACCCATGTTCTGACTGTTTTAAAGTCCAGCTGTTGGGGTTGTACTGCTAAGAGGGAGAGCTGGTTTCCAGGGAGAGGGAACACTGTCTGACCCAGATCCTGTTGTGTCTTTAATCCCCGCGTCAGCTTTAGTCTGACTTCATCCCTGATTTGGGTCATTTCCACAGCCCTCCCACTGTGCTGAAAGTACTGGAAACTACCATGGCACCCCTTACCTTCTGCACCTGGCAACCACACCCACCATGTTCTGCTCCTCCTGCCAACTCTTGCAGGTCAGGAAACAGTATCCCCAGAACCACTTTGTCCTTGACTCAGACTTACATGTTCTCCCCAGCAGAATTCCCAGGTTCCCAGGCTTCAGAACCAATTTTCCTCCCAACACGCTTTATCCCGACTTGGAATGTTCTTCGCACCCTCCCCCCCCACCAGCCCCAACACACACACACACACACACACACACACACACACACACACACTGCACTGCCTCTGACCTGGAATACACTTTGCTCTTCTGAGTCTGAGAGCTACTGGGTCAGAGCCAAGTATCCCTTAAGGTTTGTCTGAGTACCGCTCCCTCCCTCCCTTCCCCCCTCCTTCCCTCCTTCCCTCCCTCCCTCCCTCTCCTCCAGCACCAGTGACATCTATATTGGTAATGTGAGGACAGCCTACTGTACCCCTCCTTTTCAGGAAAGGCCTTGTCCACTTCAACCCCAATCCCTTAATGCTAAGCACCCATGTAACCTGAGTCAAGCCTCTTGGCAGTCAAGGACTGTAGGCCAGTGCAGTGCTGGCCCAGGCTGCCAAAGCCTGTTGTGTCCGAGGTCAGCAAGGCTGGCATGGGGACACCACTCAGGGCACTGGGGTGAAAAGCTGGGAAGACAAAAGCAGGCTACTTCATTCCGGAAACAGGACACTCCAGAGCCTGTAAGTGGGCTTTTTATTTTATTTTTTAAACTATTTTATTGAATCACTGTGAGATAGACCCCTATAAAGCTGTTTGTGATTGGATTTCAGTCATATGGTGTTTCACCAGTGTACATTTCCCAGTAACTTCTAGGACAGGTGAGACAGCTAGCATGCCTGGTTCCTGGGGAGGCAGGCATGTTCCTGAAAAGTGCCTCTGGGCATCAGAGCCACCTTTGCAGTTGGGGCTGTGGGAGAATCAAACTCCATTTCTCTGCTGGTGCCTGATGTGCTCTCCAAGCGCTCCAGGCCCTGCAGGGATTCTTGGCAGAGAGCTGCCTCAACTTCCTTTTCAGTGGCAAGAGTTGAAAAGAAATATTTTTAACACCCGGAAGAGGCCCCCATTTCTACCTGGGATATTTTTGGGGGAGGGTTATAGTCAGCTTTCTTTGGGCATGATACCTGTGTTTCTAATGCGGCCCTTCCTTTGGACAGATCAAGCTATGGTTTCAGGTGTCACCTTATTGGAGGGTTGAGTCAGACTCAAAAGGAGGCAACAGGTGGGGGGCGAGATCAGAGTGTGGGAGGAAGACCGAGTCCACCCGGAGGGTTGCAAGATGCCGGGTGTTCTCCTCGGCTGTCTGCTCTCCAGGGCCTGGCTGAGTGCTTGGGGCAGTTCGTGACAGGCCCAGGGCCTCTTGTCTCCCTGGCCAGCATCTGAGTTACGGGGTCCTGTTTCCCTCGCTGTCTCTAGGCCTGAACTCCTACCCATCACCCCAGCCAGCCAGCCAGCCAGCCAGCCCTCCCTTGGCATAGCTGCCTGTACCCCCAGTCTTGGGTGGTGAGCATTTGATGATACACCCCCCCCCCCCGCCCCGATCCTGTGCCTCGCTTCTCCATGTTTCATGTAACCCTGGTGTTGCTGCCTGCACCCACTACCTCACCCCCAGCAATTGGAAGAAACAAGACCTCCCTCCCATTTTCAAGTCCCCTGGCATCTTCCCTGTGTCCCACCCTCTCAGAAGAGTCCTTAAGACCTGATGCCGACTCCTCAACTGTCTCATGCCTACTGAGCAGACACAGCCTGAGGACCACCCCAAAGCACAGGGCTCCCCTCCTTTCCTCTGTGCATTCTCACTGCTCCAGCATACAAACGGAGGGCCAGGGAGATGGCCCAAGGGACTGAAGCATGTGCTCTGCATGCGGGAGGCCTGGGTCTGGACTTCAGGTACCACATGGTCCCCTGAGCACTGCTGGGAGTGATCAGGCCTTAGTATCACCGGCCTGAGAATAGCTCAGGGTGCCATTGGGAGAATGCTCTCTTAAAAGAAAGGCCTCCAAAGTGCAAATGTCCTTCGTGTTTAAATTTATATTAGGTGATGGCTGGAAAGGGTGAGTGGGAAGAGGGACTATATACACATGCATTGTGGGGTGTCCTTTGGTGGAGAGGAGGGTGTGGGAATGTAGGTGGGAAGGAACCTAAGCACCAACCTGCCGGCCTACCTGCCTGCCTTTGGCCCTGGAAGAGGAGAAATACTTGGAAACTATGTATAAGTGAACAGGAATGACCAGAGTCAAGGAAGGAACAAGAAGGGCAGGAGCAATGATCTTACAGTAGGTAGGCCGTTTGCCTTGCATGTGGCTGAGCCGGGTTCAATCCCTGGCATCCCATAGGATTCCCTGAGCATCACCAGGAGCAGATCCTGAGTGCAGAGCCAGAAGTAACCCTTGAGAGTCCCCAGGTGTGCCACCACCCTAAAGATGGAATCAAGGACAAGAGCATGATGGAGTCAGGGAGTGGCAAAGAGGAACCCCTCCAGGAGGATAGTGCGAGGAGGAGGGCCAGCAGCCAACAGGGGAGATGATATGGAAACTGTGAAATAGAGGTGGTAGTGGGGTTGCTGGAGGCAGACCTCGAGAATAGGGATGGAACTGAAGGCCAATCCGCTGGTGGGGAGGGTGTGGCAGAGAAACCGGAAGTCCAGACACTGGCTTCCAATGCTACAACTACAAGCCAGCCCCATGCTGGGAGTTACACAGCGTGCCTCTCCTACCTCTCCCTCAGTGAGAGCTCATCCACACAGGCACCTTCTCTGTCCTTATGACCAAGAGCATCCAGCACTGCTTGAATTCTGTTGTTGAAGCTAGCTGCAGTGTCATAAGGCATTTACACTAAACCAGATGTGGATAGATGTATCAAGCAACCCCTGGACGCTTCTACTCTCCGTCAGATGTGGACAGATGCTGAACATGCCTCCCTCACTGCCACAATCCCTACATAAAAGAAGCCAGCTAGGGTTGGAAAGGACCCAGGAAGTGGCCTTGGTGATGCCAATACTCAGGTTCCTCAGTCTCCAGAATAGAATGTGGCTTCTGGTGACCATTCTGCCATTTGCTCACTCACTCATCTCATCACACTGATGAGATGCCCAGGGGAGACATCTGGCACACTCAAAAATGGGTCACCTGTGTCTCAGAAGACTGTAGGAGGATAGTGACAGGGGACTCAAAGTTTGCTCTTAAAACGCTTCAGAGAAAGGGAAAAAAGAGAGGCTGGATAGATAATGCATTGCTTTGCATGCAGCCAACCCTGGTTTGAACGCTGATACCATACAGGGTTCTGCCAAGTACATCCAGGAGTGATCCTTGAGTACGGAGCCATGAGTAAACCCTGAGCACTGCTAGGTGTGTCCTCAAACATGGCTCCAAAGGAAAAAGAAAAGGGACAACTAAGGCGTATGCCACTCTCTGTGGATAACTGATGGGTACATGGCAATGTGTCATTCACTTCATTGAAATGTGTGAAATATCTTATGTTCATCAGTTTCTTTTTTTATGTAGGAGTACTGCTATTTATTCAGCCACTGATTAGCTGATTGAATTGGGCATGAACTCCACGCATTCATCAGTTTCAAGGGTGCTATGGGGGTGTGGGTTGTCCCTGCTGTGCCCTAGCCAAGTGTGAGCATAATGTCCCAATTTGTACCCCCTCACATTGTTGTGTTTGTGCCTGCCTTAAATGTGGGGGCACTGTCAAGTATCTGAATCCCATCAGCACAGCTAATCAGGTACTTATGTTGCAAGATGAGTACTGAGTCCTCTTTGTCCCACGGCAGCATCAGACTGGCAAGCGATTTGGCAGGATGGAAGCTAAAACCAAAGAAAGGCTGTGAGGCCCTCACTCTGCTTCATGCAAGGATTGCCTTTCCCAGGGGTCTATGCTCTGTGACCTGTGTCCACGGGCACCACCTTCCTATCTAACTAGCCTTCTCCTTTCTGCAGGACCTCTGATGCAGCCTTCTGGCAAGAAAGGGTTGCAGGAAGGCAACGTCCGCGCAGCACAGTCCCGAGGGTTGAGGAACGGACCAGGGCCCTGGCAGGGAGCTCGGAGGAAGTTCCGCCGCCAGCGGCCACGCCTCTCCCACAAGGGCCCCATGCCTTTCTGAAGCAGGTACTTGACTCTGGTCAGTGGGCAATCTAGAAGGGGCCGGGCGGGGATAGCCTGGAAGCAATGGTAGTCTTGCTGCTTGTTACTGGGTCGCCACCAGCAGTTAGAAGTCACTGCACCATGCCACGAAGAGGCTTCCAGGACCCTCATCTAAGTCTTTCATCTTTTGCACTAAGGACCCAGGCCTAGGAGCTTAACATTCTCCTGACTTCCTGGACGTTGAGTACTGGTTCCCCTTCCACATGGAACCGAGTGAGCTTTCCTGAGCAGGGAGGGACAGGGCAGGGGGCTTAATTGGCTGAGGAGAGGTGCCCCAGGGTCCAAGTGTCTAGTATGAATTCTCAGCAGAGAAGGGAAGAGAGACAGAGAGTTTGGAGGCATAGCATGGTTGAAAGCGGGAGACTGGCAGCCATGGTTGTTTAGAGCTGTGTGGAAAAAGAAAAATCAAAGATGGCCGCTCCCAAGCCCAAAGCCTCAGCCTTCCCCGGAAGCCGGGCCTGCTCTCTCTCTCTCCCTGCAGTCAGGAGGAGTTGAAGTTGAGGCTTGTGGGAAGGAGGGAATGAAGGACTGTCTCCTATTCCGTCTTGCATATTTCCTTTGACCCAAGTCATGCCATTGACAATAAGTCGTTTTGTCTCTTTAGGACTGAAGAGGCCCCCAAGTGCCTGCCCCCACTTGATTCTCTCAACTCCATAGATTTGTCTGCTTCTCTGGAGCCTTCGTCCAGACGCCGCTCATTTTGTACCTGTCCTAGCTGCTGATGGCCCCAGCTCTTCTCACCCACCAGCCTCCCAGAATGACGTGGCCTGGCCCATAGTCCAGATGATTCCTTTTCTCACACAAGGATTTCTGGAGACCTTCTTACTGTCTGCGACTGACTTTCAAGACCCCATACTGGAAGGAAGGCTATCTTTCTTCTCCCAACCCTCTCCCTGTTCTTTTCTCCGCTGTGTGTATGGGGAAGGTCTGGGAGGAATGGAGTCTCCTATCTTTGGAGGGCTCTTCTAGATCCAGCCTTCCCTGACAGTGTGACCTTGTGCCTGGCCTCAGAGGGAACTGCTGCAATGAGCAGTGGGAGACTGATTATCGGGACTGGGATATTGGGGTACAGTCAGTATGTTTTGGAATCTATTGGAATGGGGACTTGGCACTGTGGGGAGGGGAGGAGTGAAGCATTGGAGAAGAGGAGGGAGCACTTCCGTGGCCTCTTTCTCATTCCCCTTGTGGAAGAGGCATAGGAGAGGCCCTGGAGGACTGTTTCTTACCTCACTGTGTGTCTCCTGACACTCCCCTCGCTCACACTACCCACCCCCGCCCCCGCCACTTCTACTAGTGCAAGCATGGCTCAGGAGAAAGGGAGGGTGTTGGGTCTGAAGGGGCTCTGTACCCTCTCAGGAGCAAAAGCCAAGCAGGAGGATTGTTTTTGCCAAGAATCACAGAATCTCCGAGCCAAAAGGAACCTTGGAGAGCACTTAGCCCTGCCTCCTTAGGCAAACTCCTGTGGAGAGAGGCCTGGAGAGGGATAGTGACAAGCTCAGGGTCACTAAGGAGCCTGAAGGAGGACCCAAGCCTCCCAGCTGCCACTTGATGATCTCCTCTTCCCTCTTGATGATGCCTTTTCCCAACACATTAAGTGCCTTTTCCCCGGGCTAGGGGTTGGGAATGACTGAGGAACACTAGACAAACTAGTTGGCTGTGTACCGCCTCATGGTAGGGGAGGTGCCACATTGCTGCCACCTCTGTGACCTGCCTCTCCGATGATCCATTCCCCGACCTGACTGGAAAGTTCTAGAACTGGCCAGTGGTCCCCCTCCCCCCCACTTCCTGCAGCACTTCTAGAAGCCGGGTATTTTCATAGGCCTCAGTCCCTGGTTTGGAGGAGCCAGGAGGAGCCTTCTTTTCACCTTGACTACACCTGTTTTCCCAATCTCCTTTCTTTGGGGTCAGGGAGAGGAATAAAGTCAAGGAGAGAAGGAAGGCAGGGCAGGAGGGAAAAGAGGAAGGAAAGGAAGGGAGAGAGGGCGGAAGAGAGGTAAAAGGAAAGATGGGAGAAAGTGTCGGTCTGAGCAGGCTTCCTTCTCAGAGACCTTCCAGAATGGAGAAAACGGGGAACCCACAAGCCTGATGGCCATCTATTTATAAGTAGGGCCTGGGGGGGTCAGGGCCCCTTGAGTCCCACTGCACCCCAACGTTTGCCTACCTGCCTCTGCCCTTCCCTCTGCTGCTGCTAATGCTACTGCTCTTGCTGCTGGTGCTGCCGGACACCCGCCTCCCACACCCCTCAGATTCGTAGTGGGGGCTGGCCAGTGTCCAGAAAGGCCTTTTTTCACCACTGATGTCTCTGCCAGTGACTGGGCCCTTCCCCCTCCTCTCCTCTCTGCATCTCCTCCCTCCTCATCCTGCCCAGCCCCATGGGAAGGGGGAAAGAGGACAAAGGGGATGGCCAGGACATAGGGCAGAGAAGGCCAGTAGGTGGGCTGTTTTATTTAAAGTGGTTGTGTGTGATTTTTATTCTAATTTATACAAAGATAGTAAGGCCCCTTTCAGTAAAAAAAAAGTGAAGTGTGTCCCCTTCCCATAATTTTGTTCACTGTGTTTGTGAAGGTTGTTCTGTGTAAATATGTCTTTATAATAAAGAGTTGAAAGCTGACAATTCACCCTTACTCTTGGAGGTCATGTTCAGCTCTCCTCTGAGACTCAGGGTTGTCCCCATGTCCACAGAAGACACGTGCAGGGGGTTAAGTGAGTGCCTGCATCCCCAATTGGTTCCAGATCAAACGGTCTCAAACCAACTAGGCACAAACTCATAAAAGCAATCTCTATGCCTCGCTGAGGGTTCACATAAAATGCAGTTCATTTGGAAGTGTGTGGCAACAGTTTGGGTGTCCTCATGTTTGGGCGCCATGTTATTTCAAGAATTTTTAAAAGACAACTCTGTAAATAACATCCTGGTTAAAGGTGGGATTTCAACAAAAGCTTGTTTCATCTCATTGGCGGGTGTCTTCTACTTTTATCTACGCTGAAACACTTTCAGGACTTTTTTTTTTAGCCAGTTTGCCTTTCTTGAAAAATGTTATGTTTCCTGCAATAAATACATTTGGCCATGGCTTTGTATGTACCATTCTATGTTTCACAACGTAGAGTTGCTTGATGAATGAGATATCCTGAAAAAATAAAATGCAAGGAATTGAATACAGTTCTGCCCCCATCTGTCTCACTTCTTCCCGCCTGTTGTCAAAATGACAATATCTTGCAGAAGAGAAAGGAACATCAGGTTCATGCTAATTTAATTAATTAACTCGTTAGCTGCACACAGGCATACAAAATACAGAGTAAACTCCAGCAAGAGTGATCCAAAAAGTGCATTTGAGGGGGCTGGAGAGATAGTACAGTGGGTAAGCATTTGCCTTGCACATGGCCAACCCAGGTTTGATCCCTGGCACCCTATAGTCACCTGAGCCTGGGCAGGAATGATCCCTGAGCACACACCCAAGACTAATCCCTGAAAACTGCCAAGTGTTGCCCCCAAACAAAAAATAAAGCCAAACCAAAAGATTCACTTGGTAAATCTTCTGGAAAAGTCTATAGATCTGACAAGAATTTACTGATTAAAATGATGCATTTTTTTGGTTTGGGGCCACACCCTACAATCCTTAGCTTAGTCTGCACACTGAATCACTCCTGGTGGTGCTCAGGGGACCATATGAGGTGCTAGGGATTGAACCCAGGTTATCCATGTGTAAGACAAGTGACTTTATCCACTGTACTATCTCTCCAATGCCTAAAATGATGCAATATTAAAGGAAGTGCCTTTGGCCAAATTTGGTTAAATGTCACAAAATCACAGGGAGATAAAATAGAAAAACCCATCCACAAGCATTCTAATCATCGATATAATGCTGCAGATTGTGACATAATAATTTTTTTAAAAAAATCATGGTACATCATACTAAAGTAAAATTTAAAATTTTTAAAATACTACAGTATTTAGGAAGTACCTTTTAGAAAAATGAGGCACAAAATTCCTTCTTTCAAAATTACTACTTTGAATTTTTGGCAAACTGGTTGAGAGAAACTGGTTTTGAACAAGAATTTGGGCACGCTGACTTTATGCTGACTGGTTTCTTGTACAAAGGTCGACAAAGACAATGTGTTAATGAATGGAAGGGGGGGTGAGTGCATTGAGGGGGGAGGGGAACACTGCTGGAATATAGGGTATTAAAGAATTATCATAGGCATTAAATCCCAAAGTTAAATCACTTTGAAAGCTCTACTTTCTCAACAAACCAAGAAGTGATGGTGCCAACACAGGCCACTAAATACTGAAACTTAAGCCTTCCCCACTGGTCCTCTATTGAAAAATTTGCCACTGTGTGATTTGAAACACTAAAGACAAGGTTCCAGATATAATTTTGGCTGTTGAAGTCCAAGGCAGTCACGAGGGTAAGTCTCTCAGTGAGTGCTGACCAATATGTGGGGGAAAACTGGCTTTTCAAAGGAGCCCTGGTGAGGCCTTCCATGGCAGAGATACATGGGCAGAGGGGGCTCCAGAGAATTACTGGACCATAAGTGTATACTTTTCAGAGTTCTTTTTAAAAATCATCTTATTTTGTTGCCTTTGACAGTGATATCAGATCATGGAAGATGCCTTTGAGGTTCAAATCTTAGAGCGTTTTGCTTATATCTTCCTCAATGCATTTTCTAATTTATGACTTTTGTGTTGTCAGTCAGGGTACAATTGGTGTTGAAACCTTATATGCCTAAAACTCAACTATCAATAACTTTATAAATCACAGTTCTTTAATTAAATAATTAAAAAATTTTTTTATTAGTGAAACACCATGAGATACAGTTGTAGACTTACAAATTTTTGTGCTTGGGTTTCAGTTATACAATGATCAAGTACCCATCCCTCCACCAGTGCCCATCGTCCATCACCATGGGTCCCAGCGTCCCTCCCACCCCCCAGCCCCCCCATCCCACCCTGTCTCTGTGGTAGGACATTCCCTTTTGTTCTCTCCCTCTCTCCTTTTGGGTCTTGTGGTTTGCAAGAGAAGCATTGAGTGGCAATCATGTTTGGTCTATAGTCTACTTTCATCATACTTCTCCCACCCTGGGAGGATCCTCCCAACACCCTTTATTTGGTGCTCTCTTCTCTATCTGAGCTTCCTTTTTCCCTAGCACATGTGGTTGGCCTCCAAGTCATGGAGCAAAATTCCTGGTACTAATCTCGGCCACTCCTGGGTGTTAGTCTCCCATTTTGTTGCTTTATGTTCCCCAGATGAATGCAATCTTTCTGTGTCTATCCCGCTCTTTCTGACTCATTTCATTTAGCATGATACTTTCCATGTAGTACCACTTGTATGTGATAATTAAATATTTTTTAAGAGGAAAAAAATCAACTCAGTTTATTCTCTGAACAACTAGGCCACCCAGACCCCAACCTCCATTTTACAAATGGGAGAAAAGGCTAAGAAAGGAAGAGTGACTTGCCTAAAGGCTCGAAGCAAGCGAATATTGAACTTAGAATGTGGTCTTCAAATCCTAGAATACACGCTCATGTCACAGTACTCAAATAGGGCCTGTGACTAGAGAGAAGATGTAAATGAGTCTTTAGTTACAGTTTGGTTGCTGGCACCAAACTGTAAATAGAGACTATATGGTTCCCTGGGCCCACCAGGAGTGATCCAAGAGTACAGATCCAAGAATAAGCCCTGAGCAACCATCCATATGCCCTCCCCCAAAATAACAAAGGATAAAAAGAATTCACTCCATTCACAATTTGTTCCTGGGCTGTAAATCTTGGACCAGGAGGTTGAATAAAACACGGGGAATACCAGAGACTCTGAAAAACAACATTCACAGAAAGGACTAGTAAAGCAATGATAAATGGAAATGATCACTCTGGACAAGAACTGAGTGCTGAAAGTAGGTAAAAGGATACACGTGATAACCTCTCAGTACCTATATTGCAAGCCATAATGAAGAGAGAGAAAAAGAGAGAGAGAAAGAGGGAGAGAAGAAAAGTGCCTGACATAGAAGCAAGCTGGGATGGGGGTGGGGGCAGGGGGGAGGGTGGCA